AGTTTTTCTTCATTACCCATTCAAGCCGTCTCCAGCTATTATTAGTCTCAAAGTGGGTTCCTCGTCACCGAATTTGAAGACACTGTAAAGGTTGTGATGCTATTTATATTATAGGCTAAACTGAAATCTTCATAAATATAAAAATGTAAATGTATACATACATATATTCATATATTAAATCCTTTCACAATAATATTGTTTCATAGCTTATATTCTCCTAATATCACCTGCTTCTGTAATTTTATTTCTACTGCATTAAGTCTATTGGAAAAGCGCACGAGATACTCATAAAATAAATGAAAATTTAACTAGAGCTGATAAAAGGAATGATATCACTAACTTGTAATTCATCACGTGCTATTTTAGGATTTTCCAGAATATCACTACCATATAACTTATTATCCATCTCTCGTTACCGGGGCGACGGTTAAAGTAAATAGTTTGTTTTAGGGCAAAGCCACATTGGACTGTTTGCTGGGTCCACCGCGGGGACTCGATCCCCGGATTTTAGTCACTTCCACTGGCTAAAGTGAAAAAGATGTTTGCATATAATAACTGGTTATTCGCACTTAAAATAAAAAAATCAGTTGTTTGATAACATGTAGGCCTGTGAATAACATTAATGTTCATACAAAAAGATATAGAAAGTTTAAGTTGCGACATGCTGGACAGATATTATGGGTGAGATTTGTGTTTTGAAGAAAATTTAATATCTCGAAATGTTAATTATTATAACATAACGTGGAGTTTCAGTAATTATAGTTTTAACTATCATTTAGCATGATGGTACTTTACGTTACTGATATAATCTTGGCGTTTATCAGTTAAAATGAAAACAGTTTGTTTGAAGGTTCAGTGTTTTGTTGCTGTTGTTGGGTGCGCTTCTATGATTTTAGCTGGAATGGCAGCAATAATTTGAAATCATATATATTGAATCTCAAAGTAATAGAACAAAATAAACGAGTAGGTTATAAAAATAACAGAGTCACAAATACATGTCAAACCAGAAACTCCTAGAACTGAGTTTTGAAATAGCCAGCACCAGATGTTGACCATTATGATATCAGCAGAAGTCGACGACGATGATTTATCCTCGTATACGAGAAGGGTATGCGGTTCAAGAAATATTTCTATACAAGAGGTAATACTGTTTCGTGACTACAATGTAAAATATTCCCCTATATACATCATTTACGAGAGAACCCGATTCTAGAAATGTGTTCATCGAGGAAAACTTTCAGCAGTTTTTCCGAGCTTACTCGGAAACACAAACTTTCATTCCAAATCGATAGGCATCAGTGACGTCATAAATCTTTGGTGACGTCAAACCTCTGACTATTATACCGCTCGTGCAAGCCGCTCGTGTTATTAACGTGCCTCTTAACCGAGCGCGCAGGGGACTTGAAAATGCCGAAAGAAGGGATTAAGAAAAAACTGGAAGTTTCTTACAAATATTTATCTTTAACTTGATTTATTTTTATTTTGTTTATATATATTATTTTCCCGCTTATCTTTTTTCATTTTATTTATTTTTTGCTAAAAAGTTGTGTTGAGGAAACGAAGCTCTGTATTAAGCATTTGAGATAAATACTACGTTTTATATGTTGCTCAGGAAGAAACCATACAGTAAACAATGTTTATCTCTGATGAAGGTACATAGTTATTGTTCTATCTCATAAAAACACTGATGTCAACAGGAGAGATAGCAAAGAGTGTAATCAAACGTTTCAAGAATAGCTTGAAAGTTTTTCTTTCTTTTTTTGTTCGTTGTTAAGCACAATGCTGCACAGTGAACTATCTATGCTATTCCCACCACGGGTATCGAAACCCAGTTTTTAGCGTTAGCTGGAAAGTGAACAAAGTTTGCTAATTGTTTGTAATTAAGCACAAAACTACACAATGGGTTATCTGTGCTCTGCCCACCACGGGTATTGAAACCCGGATTTTAGCGTTGTAAGTCCGCAGAAATACCACTGTACCACGGGGGGGGGGGTGAAAAAGGATATTTTTCCAACTTTGAAGTGAAGAATTGGCATGACACGTCTCTAGGTGATCTTTTGTAAACAAACGAATATTCGTGGAAGACTTCTCTGACCCCAAAATGGGTATTGTTACTGAAGTTTTGGGTTGTCTGTTATATATTTAAGTTGGTGTCTTGGCTAATTTCAGTATTATTATCTTCCGATCACAAGTAAGATCTGAACTAAAGTAACTTATGAATTAATGAAGACAACCTTGTACAACATACTGCCTACAATACTTAAAATCATTTGAATAAATTCTCTGTTAATGATATTTTTTGTCCACGAATCCAATAATACCTCCCAAAATTCAGCTAGTTAGGAGATTTAGTTAATTCTATATACAAAAAAAACAATTCAAAAGGCTTAAGACATCGCAGTCACTATTGTGTACGGGAGGCCTTGTTACTCACTTTTTGATTAATTAATTCACTGTATTAGTTCCATATTATTGTGAGAAAAATTAGAAATAATAATATGGAACTAATACAATGATGTGTAACGTTTTTTAATATAGTGGTTAGTTGCTGTCGTGTTTTTTTTTCGTTCAACATCTCAAATATATCATTCACATTGAAGACTTATAAAAACAATAAAAAGGAAAATACCATATGTTACAAAAGTATGTAACATCATAAGACAAGCGCCCGAAACTTTAAAATGTTTAATGGAGAGAAAATCAAGAAAAAGATACTAAGGGCGTGAATTTCTTGCTACTACTAGAATGAATCAACGAGTATTATTTTAAAAGTTATAGTTTAAGAATTCGTCATCAACAGACAACAACTATAACAGACAAAAGATGATAAATAAAGTAACTTAGATCTAATTTCATTATGTTCAGCATTTATCCTTTATTTTCTGCAGATGTTAGAAAGAGTATAATTGGTCAAACACTTGGAGGTTTGCTCTTTGCCCTTCTTGGTGGACAACCGTTAGTTATCATAATGACCACAGCGCCACTGGCACTGTACATTAAAGGTGAGTGTTTTTTTTAGTTGTGAACTGGTTTATGAAAGATCTACAGTTTGTAGACAAAAAAAATCAAAAATTAGCGGCGGTATACGTTACTTAAAGTTACTTACTGTTTTCTTTACTGTAATATACGGAGCTTTAGGATTTCTGTTTTGAAACAAAAATAGTAAAACAACATTTTCCAAAGATCTGAAATCAAAGGTTCTGTTTTGTTTTATTATATAAACTCTAACTTTATCTAAAACTACCTTTCTGTTAAATTGGAAAATGTGACCTTGGTGGAGAGGACTGTGGATTAAAAAGTATGATTATTTTTATAAATATAGTCATTTGGTGACTTTTCAAACAGCACGGCAAAAACAAATTTACTTTAAATTCACGTCTGAATAGAATTTGGTGAACTGTGAATTATTTATCAGCTTTATTTTTAACAAAAGGTAGGTGAAACAGTTTTCAACAAAAACTCGTACCATGTGCATTTCAAGTTTATTCGTGGTTCCAGTTCCACTCAGTCACTTTTTGTTGGAAGGACCTGTGCTTGGTTTCTAATGTATTTCTGTACTTATCGCTGTTGATAAAAGAAAACTACAAAACAAACAGCTCCTTCTTTAGTTTGGTCAGTATTCCATCTCTATTTCTGTCTTCCACTCTCTTTATTTATAAAATTCTCCTCGTTTGCAGAACTTCTTATAAATTAGCTGCATCTTATTTAACATCTTTTTCCTCCACTAACAATATTACTATCTATATTTTTATAAATGTATATATATATATTATGGTGCGTCGAATTTACTTAGTCGAAAAGTTTATTTTGTAATTGCTAGTCGACAGGGTGCGCAATAGTTGACTTTTATTATAAGAATTAATCTTATACAATATGAAACTCTTCCAATTATATCTGCCGCAAGCGAACCAAAGTTTGAAAATAAAGTGTATCATCTCTCCACCAAATGAAGTAGTTAATCAATGACTTGTTTGGGTTATTTTGCTAAAGCTGCACTTTCTACATTCAAATCCTAAAACAAATAAACAAATGAGGACACCGCTTCTAACGGTAGTGAGAAAAGTTGACAGGTTCTGTATTTCAGTCTTTACCTCAGCTGTTTAGGAAGATATGGGCAGTATTCAAGAAAATGACACTGCTAAAATTATCGATAAAAACAAGATATGACGTGAACGAGAAAAATACCGAGAAAAAGTATTGACTTCTGATGAATCCAACTATATTAAATATATCTACTTTGATGATAGAATAGATATAATTAAACATTAAACCTGTAGTCATGGAACAGCACATAACTTTGGTCAGTGAACCTGAATCAAATTTCATGGATCACATTTCTCCTTTTTCCGGAACATCAGAAGGTAAACAAATTCAGTCATTCAGTGGTTTGAAGATAACAAAATTTCATCTGATCATTTAGTCGCTGTAGGCTGTGACGGCAGATACTTCTATACTGGCAAAATAGCTGGAGTTATGTGGCTTCTTGAATTGCACTTAAGAAAACCTGTTAATTTGTTTGCTACATGCAAATGAGTTACCTCTGTCATCTAATTACGCATCTTGATGGAGTAACTCTAGGACTGTCCGCTTTTTCTGGCTCTCTTGGAAAGAAACTGAAGACTTGTAAATCATTGCATTCAGTAAACTTTGTTTCAGTCGAAATTACAGAACCATTACTGAAAATTGACCATCCTGGAGATCTTAGTACAGATCAAGAATATCTGTATGACATGTGCAATGTGGTAGTATCAAGTCATAGTTCAAGATAACTTGATTTACGTGACCCTGGTACAATGGACCATTTTCGCTGGTTAACAACAGCAAACAGGATTTTACGTCTTTACGTCGCAACTGCTAGCCCATCCAAGAAGCTTAGTTTGTTAGTGAGATATGTAATTGAAGTGTATGCAACAGTTTGGTTTAATATCAATAAAAATCCCTCATGTATCCATGGTTCACTGCACCTTTTTCCACTTGTAAGAAAATCACGTTTTCTTCCTGAATCAGAGAAATATATGGTGGATAGAATAATCCGGAGAAATGCATATTTTACCCACCCGGAAAATTCCCTGTTTGCGATTCTTGGAGATGATTCTAAGGCTGTCAGACAACTTGCTCTTCGTAAAATATTAGCTGCTCAATCTATCTTAAATTCTAGCACAATGAGACAGTTTGTGGTTCCAAATATTTATATAGAAGCTCAACATTACACTGATCTAATAATGTGGACTGAGAGTAGAGCAACCACTACAAAAAAATATAAGCAATGAACAGTTGGTGTCTTTCATTAATCAAGATGACACGCCAGTTTTCAAGTTCAGCATGCCGTGTCACACACAAGCAGTTGAAAAACATGTTAAAATAGTAACAGAAGCTTCAGCAGCTGTGTATGGCTATCGCAGAAGAAAGGGATTCATTATAGCAAAACTT